GCCTCGGCCTCCCAGAGTGCTAGGATTATAGGTGTGAGCCACCGCACCCGGCCTCAAGCAATCCTCTTGCCCCAGTCTCCCAAGTAGCTGGGACTATAGGTCCAAACCACCGCACTTGGCTAATTAAAAAAAAAATTTTATAGAGATGGGGGTCTTGCTATGTTGCCCAGGCTGGTCTCAAACTCCCAGCCTCAACCTATCCTCCCACCTCAGCTTCCCAAAGTGTTGGAATTACAGGCATGAGCCACTGTACCCAGCCTCAACTATGATTATTAATGATTTTGATAACCTCAGTGTTCTCCAGTGGGACAGATAATCTAGAATTAACTGTATATAAGCATAACTTTCTTTGTTAATTTTAGGGAGTTATAGGACTGAGCAAAGAATTGAAAGAAAGAACAGAAAGCAGGATGCAAATCAGGAAGGGATAAAAGCACTAATATTAACCAGTAATATCTAAAGGCAGTGATTATAAATTTAATAAAAGGGAAAAGAATAATAACTCTATACAAAAACCATCAGCTTTTTGCTTCTAGTTAAATGACATATTATTAGGTTATTAAGTATGGAATGTCCAATATCCTTAAGTACTAAGTTTGACAGTTGATATCGCTGACATTTCACTTTGACACTTCTTGTTTTGTTTTTTTTTCCTATTGTGAAGGTACATCCTCATTCTTTCAAATGTACATTTTGGCTTGTGATTATCTTTCAAATTTTTTTTTTCAAATTTTTAGAGCAACTTTTGTGAAACCATGGTTAAGTCAAAATTTTGTGTTATTTTTTAATATGAATTCTGTTGTGGAACCAATGCAGCACAGACAGCTTGAAATATCAATGAAGTGTCTGGGAAGGATGTGGCTAATAAACACAGTGTGTCAATGGTTTGAGAAGTTCCGTTCTGGTGATTTTAATCTTGAAAATGAGCCATGTGGGTGACCTGGTGGATAATGATGAGCTGAAAGCTGTAGTGGAGGCAAATCCATTTGACCTATGCATAAATCAGCAGCAAGGTTTGACATTACTATTCTAATAACATTGGACTATTTGAAACAAATTGGCAAGACGAAACTGGATAGATGGGTACTGCATCAATTAAACCACATCAGCAGAGACATCGTTTTGAAGCTTGACTTTCTTTGCTGTCATGACGTAAAGGTGAACCATTTCTACACTGTGTTGTTACCTGTGATGAAAAATGGATTCTTTTTGACAATCGCAAGCGTTCAGCACAATGGGTGGATAAAGATGAAGTGCTGAAACACAGTCCAAAACTCAATATTTATCAAAAAACGCTAATGGTGTCTGTTTGGTGGTCCGGCGCTGGTATTATCCACAACAGCTTCATGAAACCTGTTCAATCCATTATAGTGGATATCTACTGCAACCAATTGGATGAAATGATGAAGATGCTTGTGATTAAGCAGCCGAGACTGGTCAATAGAGACAGGCCAGTCCTCTTGCAAGACCACGCCTCACCAAAAACAACACTGCTCAAACTACAGAGGCTGGACTTGGAAACTCTCTGTCATCCACTGTATTCACCAGACCTTGCACCAACTAGACTACCACTTCTTCCAGGCTTTGGACCACTTCTTGCAAGGAAAAATATTCAATTTCCAATAAGCTGTGGAAAATACCTTTTACCATTTCATCACCACTTGTTCTCCAGGCTTCATCGCTGCTGACATAAGCAAGCTACCATTAAGATGGCAAAACTGTGTCAATAATTTAGACACATGCTTTAATTGTACTGCTTCTTGTTTGAGATATAATAAATGGACATTTCATATTTAATGACCTAATAATTCTTACTTTACTTGCAATTGAAACAATTCAAATTTGAACAGGTTCTGACTATGAGGATACAGAAAATAATTTTGTGATATTCTTCTATCCTCTTCGTTTCCAAAATCCTAGGCCTAGTGTACCTGAAACACATTAGTAATATTTTTTTTTTTTAGATCTTGGAGCTTTCAAGAGAGAAAAATTAGAATTGGTCACAGGAGGAGATAGTAAAAATATTCTACCTAAAAATCTCTAAATACCCACAGGAAAGGCAAGGAGGCTCAGGTCTATTGTTCTCATTGATAGCTTAAGAAATAACAAAAATAGAATAAAAATTACCAAAAATAATTTTATGTGTGTATAGCACTTTACATCATCTGTATGGTCATGTGTCACTTGAAGATGGGGATAGGTTCTGAGAAATGTGTTGGTAGGCGATTTCATTGTACGAACATCATAGAGTACACTCATACAAACCTAGACACTACAGCTTACTGAGTGCCCAAGCTATATGGTATAGTTTATTGCTCCTAGGCTGTAAACCTGTATTGTGGGCAATTGTAACACAATGGTAAGTAGTTGTATATCTAAACATAGAAAAGCTAATGCATTGAGCAGAGGATGGAGAACATGAATTATTTACTAAAACTTGGCAAAAATTCAGATATAGAAAAATAATGAATTATATGAATTTCTAAGATAACAGTGGTGAGAAAAGTATCCCAAAACTGAAAAAAACATTTATTAAATGTACATAAGAATGCTAACTTTACTCCTGATGTACATCTCAAGGGAAATGGTATACTTTACCAAGAATCTGTATAGTAGTCACAATATTTACTTCTCATTTTTTAAAGCTTTTTATAACAAAGCATACAATATTGTCAGCTCTGTTATAATAAAGCATAAAATATTATCAGCTCTGATCCACTTCACTTTCTGTTATTTAGAAGCCACTGGTCACTATAAGGCTTTGGAACAGCTATGTTTTAACAGATGTTTATCTTCATTAAACCTACCTGGCTCTGTGATTGTTTTGGGCTTCTCAGATTCCATAGTGTCTGGATTTTCAGGCATTTCTTGAACATCATCTTCTGCAAATCCGGTGTCTGGGCTGCTGGTTGGTTTTTCATCATCTTCATGACTCAGAGATGGTGAAGTTTCTGTCTTACTTATCTCTAAGACGGCTGCTAGAAGCTCTTCTTCACTAATTCTGTCAAATCCTGAGTTTTCCAATTCAGACTTATCAGGCTCTATTTGGCATAATTTTGAACCCTGAAGAAGAGAGTTACTTTTAGAGGAAACCGGAATACCTACAAACATAGCAGTCTTAATTAGAAGCTTAAAGTGGTGACTTCATTTTATTTCTAAAAAGTTTCCTTTCTTCGACACTTTGGGTTATTTAACAATCAATAACCAATATATAAACCCATTGGCAAGCCTAATTTTTAAATTAGTAACTACTTAAAGATACATGATTAGTTTTCTCAATTAATGAGTGCAAATTTGGGGCCGGGTGAGGTGGCTCACGCCTGTAATCCTAGCACTCTGGGAGGCCAAGGCAGGAGGATTACTTGAGTTCAGGAGTTTGACACCAACCTGAGCAAGAGTGAGACCCTGTCTCTACTAAAAATAGAAAAATTAGCCAGGCATAGTGGCATGTGCCTGTAGTCCCAGCTACTTGGGAGGCTGAGGCAGGAGGATCGCTTGAGCCCAGAGTCTGAGCTATGACGACACCACTGCACTCTACTTGGGGTGATAGAACGAGACTCTATCTCAAAAAAAAGGCGCAAATTTTGTAAAACCACACACAAAAAATAAATTCACTCAAAATAGATTACTGAGAAATAATTTCTATTAGTATTTTTAGTTTATTTTCTTCCAGATATACATGGATTATATTGTAAATATTCTATCATTACACATACTATTCCATTTTAAATATTGGCTGGTCCTATTCGCAAAAATAAATGAGAAAAATAAAAACTACATCAAGATTATATAAATATTCAGAAATTATTTTCCAAATAACTTTCATTTCTGGGATGATTTTTAACTTTCTTTCATTTCTCATTCAAGGTGAGCAAAGACAAATTACCTCTAGCTTTAAAGTGAGACGGGGAACAACTCACAACAAAAAAATAACTGCTAAAATAATTCTATTATTTTACAAAAAAGGAGGTTTATAAAACACAGTAGCATGAGATGATGCAAACACCTAGAAAAGCTTAGATCTTCAAAGTATTAACTCTCAGTAAGTGTCAAGATAGAAGATGATATAGCAGTATCTTGATATAGCAGTATCTATACATTCATAATTTAAACAAGTAGATTACTTGGTTGCTCTGTTGATAAAAACTTTTCTTTCTTAAAAGTCTTGATCCACCTGTAAACAGACTGGTTTTTGTAGTTAGAGAAAGCATCTCCTTAAAATTAGTGTTTGAATGGAGCCATTGAGTTTATGATTTATCTTGTATCTTTATTAAGTTTGCTGATCATGGTTATAAAAGGCATTTGTTTGGACAATAAGAGCTACAAAAATCTTTGTCAAATGTTTTGATGCAAGATTACTTACTTTTTCCAGGACTTCCTGCTGCTGTTCATTGCCTGACACGTCACAAAGTCTGTGGCTGAGGGCCACAGAGCGTTTCAGCTCATCCTCACTGTCTGAATCAAGGCATAAAGCCAAGGAGCCCTTAGATTTGAAGGTAAATTTCCTGTAAATTAAGAAAAAAGACCTATGTAAGTCTGATAAACATTTTTCTTTGTTAATCTTTTGATGTATAAATACCAAAAAAAAAAAAATGCTTTGCCATTATGAAAAATTATTTCAGAGAAAAAAGATATATCAAAAGAGGTATATCTAAGTATTGCCTCTGCCCCAGTCCAAAAGAGCCATGCTTTAAAAACTGGACAACTCTTATGCTATTATATACCATCAGTAAACCAATCACTTTGTGCCTTTTTTCTTTTAAATGATCAACCCCCTTGAAGTTTGCGTTTGTCTTTATAAAGTAAGTCTCTAGTGAATTCATGCAGGCATAGCAATGAATAAATGTTTTTGACAACAAAGTGCATGAGGACTAATTTTTGATCTTTTAAATTATGATCCATGCACTTTTAAGATAACAATAACATTCCACTTATCCACTTATCTGTAGGTCAGAGTTCTGGCAACCTGTACCTTCCAGAACACAGGGATTCCAAAGAAAGAAAAAAGGCTTCTGAGCAAGGCAGTTCCAAAGCCCATGCACTTACAGGGACCCTTTCTTTCCCAGGAAATGATTTATAAAATAGAGTAGCAAGTTCATCAAGAAATGAGAGCTAGGAAATGAAAGAGAATACCACAAAAAGGGCAAAAAAGAACTATAGTTTTTAATGTAAAAGTAAACTGTCTTATAATAATTAAGAGCCTTTCAGGGCAATATCATGTTGAAACACAGTGTAATAGCTGATACTTAATAATGTTGTTAATTCTTGGTCATTAAGATATACTTAAATTATCTTCAGTGTATTTTATCTAAGAATATAAGGAATAATACATTTTAGAAAAATTTTCATCCAAAATGATCGATACTAGAGATAAGTAAGGTGTTACTGTGTTGTCTTCTAGGTGAGCTGAAAATAAAGGAAAAAGTGGTAACAGTCAAAGAACAAGTACTTTCTTTGATGGAGGGTAACAAAAATTCATATGCTATACTAAAAAAAAAAAGGTAAAATGAAAATTGGAAAAATGTAATTAACCTAAATGTAAAAACTAAATAAACATATAGAATAATGGCACCAAGAAATAAGAGACTACAATGGAAATCAGGAGGATTGCACAGCAATGTAGATCAAAGAAAAGAGGCAAGTGGTCAGTGATAAGCCCTAGCAAAGTCTACGGCTCAGAGCTGCAAGGATATCACTGCACTCCAGCCTGAACACTTGAATAGCCTCCCATTGTGTCTTCAAAAGGGTTTTTAGTATAACTTAGAAGTAGCCAATTAGCCATCTTAATTCCTCTTTTCTGATTTCATGCTCACCAAGCAAACTCAAACATACTAATTTGTTTATCCAGGTAAATACTTTGCTGAAGGAGGGTGACATCTGGTGCTACTTATACCAGTGTCAAATGTAACAAAAGGACACTGTAGAAGAACCAATGGTATTCTGGTTCATAACTCAGCCTCTTTTAAGTTTGATCAGCATGACAGGTCTTCTAGGGCCTAATAATCCTTTATAGATTAACCCTCAAATTCTCATACCAGTAGACCCTGGAGAACAGATGACCATGCCAAGGTACAATGATGCCCAGTGAAACCATCTCTCTCTTGCAGTTATAGTGATATGGTACATAAAGAGTGCATTCCATTAATAATTACTATATTTACAGAAGGCAGCTTGCCTGTAGCAATGAAAAATATTCATCCTTTAAATGCATCACTTGCTCACTTTCTAAGCAGCCAAGTGGTATTGCTCATTTGTATCTTGAGAACGGGCAAGAGTATTCATATCGGTACCATTTCACATTTCTAGTCATGTTAGTCATCTGGTTTTAATTGCACTGAAAAATAATTAACAGGAGGAAAAGAAAATAGCAGTTCCCAAATGTCATTTTATGGTTATATAAGCCCCCCAAAAGCTCTTAAACAATAAAAGTGTCTCTTCGCTAAAAGTACTTTGGGCCATTACATTTTTAGAAAAATGAATTTCAAAGTCAAATGACAACAAATCAATTGGAATTGTCAAATCAAGAACTCCTCCAGTAAAATCTTAGAAGAGATATATTTTAAAAAAATCATTTGCTTCCCTCCTTGGATAAATTTTTGGTATGAAAGAAAAAACATAAGGCATTTGTAGAATAGCTGCATTGCAATGCCTGTTTGTCTTGTCCCCTTTCAGAATATCTCCTATTCAGCGTTGAAGACAAGAAATCCCAGACTGGCTAACCCGAGGCAAAAAGAGGCTTTGGGATCCCATGCCTATCTTTGAAGAAGGGTGCTTCAGACTAACTGGGGTTATTTTATCCCTTTGATCCCTAGAATCCCCTGTCATCAGTCAATTTCTAGAGTTTTAGGATGAAAATATTACATTTTAACAAATTGGAAGTTTTAAGAAGTTTTAAGACAAAACATTAGAGAATCAGCTAAACTTGTGTCACTCTTTAAAAATTTGTTACACCTTTGACTATACTCTTAATCAGATTCAGTAAAATCCAAGTATCGGTACTCCAGAGCAATTATCATGCAAAAAGAGAAACTATAAAGAAAAAGGAATGGGGCAATCTTGGAGATTAGGGTAAGCCAAATCCTTAAAAATACAGATTTTGGGTACAAAGAAATGTAACTCACTTTGAAGGTGTAGAAGGACTGGTGATGCAGGAATTCACCATTTGAGAGGCTTTCAATGGTCTAGAACTATCAGAAAATTAGAAAATATATAATGTATACAAATGCATTATTAAAGAAATATCTAATATTTAACTTATATAATATTCTGTACTATAATCCCTTATATGTCCTCTTGAAAAAGCAAACAATTATAACATTTTTAAAATTACTAGTAATAGAGGCCAAATGAGAAAATGAAATATCATCTCTAGGCTTTCCCTGATCCACACTCTAAATAAACAGAATTGGAAACAAAGTCAAGGGTAATGCATATGAAAAGAACAACTTGGGGAAAAGTACCTTGTTTTATTTTTTATTTTATTTTATTTTTTGTTATTTTGGTTTTTTTTGAGACAGAGTCTCACTCTGTTGCCTGGGCTAGAGTGCCGTAGCATCAGCCTAGCTCACAGCAACCTTAAACTCCCGGGCTCAAGTGATCCTCCTGCCTTGGCCTCCTGAGTAGCTGGTACCATAGGCGCTCACTACCACGCCTGGCTAATTTTTTCTATTTTTAGTAGAGATGGGGTCTCATTCTTGCTCAGGCTGGTCTTGAACTCCTAACCTCAAGCAATCCTCCTGCCTCAGCCTCACAGAGTGCTAGGATTACAGGCATGAGCCACCCCGCCTGGCCAAAAAGTACCTTGTTTTAAAATGTTCCTTACTTTTAGCAATAAATAATAATAGCTCTCATTTATTGAGGACTTAGTAGACATCAGGTACTGTACTAAGAACTCTATGTATATTAGCTCATTTAATGTTCACAACCGCCCTACTAACTTCCCTACAGACAAATTAAGGAATTTGTCCAAGGTCTTAAAGCTATTAAACTGTAGCATCAAATAACCTGGTTTCAGGTCTGTGATCATAAAGATCCTATACTGATGGTATCATATACAGTCCTATTGCCAGAAAGAGTAATAGCTCTACCAGCAGAGGGCAGTTTGCACCAAGCAAAAACATTTATTTCAAAGAAAAGCCATAAGAGAAAAAAAACCAGAAATGCTAAACTCTGGGCACATGCTTTTTTTAGTAGACTCTTGAGGACTTTAATGTAAACTTATATGATGTAGTATATATTTCAATTATAAATCCAAAGGACATTTTATAAAACTGCATCAAATCATGTTGGCAAATGTTCATTCACTTTCCGAAATGTCTATTATTTCATTTTACCTAAGAAATCTGGCTCTTTTGGTTACTAACTGTATATATGACCTTAGGAAAATCATTTAATTTCCTCGGATCTCTTCTGTAAAATTAAGGATTTGGACAAAATAACTAATATCTCTTTACCTCTAAAATTCTAGACCTTTATGATTCTATCAAACTAGTGTTCAAGTACAGAAAAGAATGACTCAGTATATGGCTCCAAAGTAATGCAAGTATGTAGAAAAAAGAGAAACATCAAAAAAGTCCTAAAGTCTTCCCAGCACACGCGACGAAGCAAAACCTATAGAAAAGGTAACTTGTTCTTCAAAAATTTCTCGGAATGATTTAAGTTCTTCACATTGGTGATAATATACTTATGAAGGCACAATCTATTTTTGGGGTTCCAGTGTAACATTCAGTATACTGTTTGTCAAATCTTCATGTCCTAAAGAGTTAGCTGAGGCATTTGTTCTTTTTTTTTTTTTTAAATATGGAACGCTTCATGAATTTGTGTCTCATCCTTGTGCAGGGGCCATGCTAATCTTCTCTGTATCATTCCAATTTTAGTATATGTGCTGCCGAAGTGAGCACCATTTGTTCAAAATAGATTCCCACACCCTATCTGAGATCTACTGAAACAGAACCTCCAGGGAAAAAACATAGAAATCAGTATTTTTAGTGTCCAGGTGACTCTTATGATCACCCAAGTTTGATTTATATTCCCAAAGTGTATCAAACTATCTTCTAGTGGTCTAAAAGAGTAAGAGCACTTTCTAAAAAAGCACCTCGTTATGAAAGGCAGCTAAATGAACTTGGAAGAATTTTGTTTAAGCCCTTTCTTCAATTACTTCAATCAGGTAGCAATTTAACACTAAATTCCAAAGTAAAGCAAAATTAAAATCTGATGTGATTTTACCTTGGAGCTGTGTTATCTAGTTTATTTAGTCTTTTGATTGGATACTAAAGTCCTTCTACTTCAAAAGGGAATGAAAAGACATTCTCTTTTATGGACTTACATTGCCGTATGTGCACTCCAACCGAGGGTAAAAGGTGGTTTTGTATTTTCAGTGCAATGAGATGACAGGGTCAGGTATCTTGGAATGATGACTTGCTGCCCAATCTTGTTGTTAAGTGAGAGAGCCACATTAAAGCTATATCGTTTCAAATGAAGAATGAGGACCCTGAAAAACAGGAGATGATGACCTTACTAATTCATACATAATAGAGGTAGTTCTCTCATACACTAAAAGAAATCACTCTGGGGCCGGG